AAGAAAACTAAAATTTAAATCAACCACCACATCGCCCCACAGCGACCCCAACCACCCCAACCACCTCTCCGCCCCTACCACCAGTTCAGACGAGGCCCAAAGAAGTCAGCCCCACCACGACCACACCGCAGACCCCCGCGCGCCGTTCTCCGACCCTCCCTACCCCCTTCCGTCGTCAACAATCCACCACAACCATTACTGACATCAAGGTATGCGAAGAGGAGAAGGGTCAAAATCGAGGCGTGAGAAGGGGATAAGGGATGAAATCGGAGCGTGGGGAAGGGAGGTAGACGGAAAAGGGACTGAAGAAGGGGAAGGGGGCTGGGATCGAGGGTTTTCGAGTGTTTGCAAGGTGTTTCCGGCCACCTTTAGTTTAGGATTTTCGTGGTGGTAGAAGGGAGGTTGGTGGTTCTGGGGAGGGGAAGGAGGTCGTCGACGCTGCAGGAGAGTTTTTGGGCGGTCGGCGCAGCGGGACAGGGGAGTTTGGCAGCTTGGTCGGTGGAAACGGGCTGCGGGGAGGGTGGTTCTTGCTGGTGTGGGCTTATCAAAATAACTAGTCATAAACCCCTGCAATACACAGCTGTTTAATGTATTATAATAATTATTTTTGTATTGTATTTTTACTTATAATAATTATTTCAATTTCATATATAAGAATAATACTCTAGATATATTTTAAATGTATTACTACTAAGTATTGTGAAAGCATCATCTTCTAGTCGTTTAGTCGAACTCGCAAATTTTATTATGCAAGATTAATATTCTGTAACTTTTTCTTATTATTAATATTCTATAATATGCATTGCACACATGTAAGGCTTCTTTAACTTTCTTTTTCTCCTGCCATGTGCAATATTGTAAGGGCAAATAAGTTTTAAGACTATACCATTCTTTTGCCATATATATGTACAATATCAACCATGCAAAAACAAATCATGAATTCCCTTGTATAGTACAATATACATAAGAGGACTACAAATTAAAATTTTCCAAGTTATTAAAACTGTATTATACACCAAATTGAAGAAAAAGGTTTACCTAAACATAATTTGAAACCTTATTTAATCTTCACTTTCACTGTTAAATTTGCAAACAAATTGATCATACATAATAACATAAATGAAACTTAAAATATGAATACATATATAATGGAATGAAAAATAGAAAGGAACTTACTATTTTCAATAGGGTGGGTCTATGAGCAATTAAGTTTATTGTACAAAAAACATAATATTTCTTTTTTAGAAAAAAAAAAAAAACTAAATTTGGGTTTTGCATCCCTATATTAATATTTTTAAAATGAACTGAAGTGACATCTTTGTAATTTTGTGAAGACTTTTTTCACTTTTTTATTTTTTTTATTTTTTTTTTATAATTAACGGTTGAACTTTTTTTTTTTTTGAAAACAAGCAAGTCACATGTCATTAATTAGTGGACAAATTGTCCATGAGTACATAGGGCGTTACAACATTCGGACAATGATGTATCTATACTTGTTCGTACCCTATCGGGATAATACGTGCTATGATGCGCAACATAATTACCACCTCTTTTTACATGTGACCAAGCAATGAAAGAAAAATAAGAACTAACATCTAGAACATCTTCAAGAAGCAAATCCAAGTCTGCTAAGTAAGTGGATGCATTTGAGAGTCTTGTAATAAGCCCTTGGCAATCTGATTCCAAGATAATTTCTTTGATCCCCTGCTTCTTGGCTAGACAAACCGCAAACAAAATTGCTTTACATTCAACGAGAGCAGGATCCCAATTGCCCCTTAATCTTCTCGTGCCTGCAAATAGCACCTCTCCCAAGTGATTTCAAGCTACAGCCCCCAACCCAATCCATCCTTCATCACAAACGAAGGCATCACAGTTCACTTTTATGTGTCCTTGCGGAGGAGGAACCCATGTAGCAGGGCTCTTCAATACACTAGCCACCTTGCGACCATAAATACTTGTAGCATACATATCATACTCATCTACCTGCTGATGCATTCGAGAAATCACAACCATGTGGGACGTGTCGATATTGTTAAAAATCAGGTCATTGCGCCTTTTCCATATAAGCCACAATAGCGCTGCTCCTCTCTGCTGCAGCTTTGTGTTTGCTTTCCCCCAACTCTCGAACACCTCTCTAAAATCAGTGGAGTGATCTTCCCACAACAAAGCTTCACAAGATGCTTCCACCCATAAATCACACACCGCAGGACATGTAAATAAGGCATGCCTTAGAGTTTTTGGTTCCTCTTTACACCAAGGGCAAATATCCTCTTCAGTCATGTGTCGTGCTTTTAGCAATGATTTCACTGGGAGGGTATGGGTGCATGTCCTCCATAGCATATGTCGTATCTTAGGAGTAGTTTCCAGCTTCCAAATCTTAACCCACGCTTGATGAAACAAGTCAAAGTTGCATCCCTTGCTGAGCATGTAAGCTGTTTTTACTGAGTACTGACCATCTTTGGAGAAAGCCCAAGTGAGGCAGTCCTTGGGAAATCTGATACTGATGGGAATAGATCGGATACAAGCCACATCCCGCTCATTAAAGATGTGTTCCAGTAAGGTATGGTTCCAGTTCGCAGCCTCAAAGTCAATTAGATCGCTCACACGGCTTACTTCCGTAGTCAATTCGGAAGTAATTTTGCTGCCCTTCTCATCTGCAACCCAGGAATCTTCCCAAATGTTTATTTCACTCCCATTTCCTACTCTCCAGATAAGCCCCTTCTCCATAAGATACCCCGCCCCGAGAATACTTCTCCATGAATGACTGCACGATGATCCTGCTACTGCCTTCATAAAATCGCCACTTGGGTAATACTTCATTCTCATTACTCTGCTCAGTAGCGTATCAGGTTTGGAAATCAGCCTCCAAGCTTGGCGTCCTAGCATTGCATCATTAAATATGGACATGTCACGGAACCCAAGCCCACCTAAACACTTAGGAGAGCACATAGCATCCCAATTAATCCAATGCACCTTTCTTCCTGTACCCGAACTACCCCACCAAAATCTAGCTGTCATAGCTCTGATTTCATCGATCACACCCACGGGAATTTTATAAACACTCATAATGTAGGTCGGAATTGCTTGTATGACCGATTTTATAAGTGTTTCCTTTTCGGCTCGAGAAAGTAGCTTCTCTTTCCATCCTTGGAGTTTCTTCCAAATTCTCTCTTTTAAGGCTGCAAAGACACTTTTCTTCTATCTTCCGATGATGGTTGGCACACCAAGATATTTACCATGATCATCCACTAGTCGCATTCCTAAGAGCTCAACCAACTCCTTTTGCTTCTCGGGACAAACACCTTTGCTAAATGAAATCTCGGATTTTTCATAATTTATTTTCTGACCGGAAGCTGCTTCATAATTGTTGAGGATATCAACTATCTTTTGAGCACTCTTTCCGATTGTCCCTGGCAAATAGCAAACTATCGTCCGCAAAAAAGAGATGAGATATTTCGGGACCGTTGCGACTAGCTCTAGCCCCATGAATCTCTCTGTTCAAAACCGCTTTTGAGAGAAGACCTGAAAAAGCATCTGCAATCATGATAAACAAATAGGGTGATAATGGATCCCCTTGTCTCAATCCCCGGGAGGGTTTAACATTTCCGCAAACAGTCCCATTGATTATGAAGGAGTAAGAAACCGTCTTCACACAGTTCATGACCAACCTAACCCATCTGTTAGCAAACCCCAATCGCAATAGTAGTTTTTCCAAAAAGTGTCATTCCACTCTATCATATGCCTTGTTCATGTCAAGTTTTAGAGCAATGGTCCCTTTACGGCTAGTACTCCTCTTTTTCATAGTATGAAATAATTCCAAAGCAATGAGGGAATTGTCAGTGATCAATCTTCCCGGAACAAAAGCACTTTGATTCTCAGAAATTATTCCGGGCAAGATTGATTTTAGCCTCATGACTAAAGCTTTCGACGCAATTTTATATAATACATTACAAAGTGCAATTGGTCGAAACTCAGATGTAATTAGGGGATTTTATCTTTGGAATTAAAACAATATTAGTGCGGTTCTCTTCATTAGGAATACACCTAGCTTGGAGAATGCTACGAACATGATTGGAAACATCATCTCCAATGACGTGCCAAAACTTCTGGTAAAAGATTGCGTGAAGTCCGTCAGGACCCGGGGCTTTGCAAGGGTGCATCTCGCAAATGGCTTTATATATCTCGTCCTTGGTATACGGCTTGAGGAGCTGCTCATTTATTTCAGTGGAGACAGCAGGAGCTACCGCCAATGGCGGAGCCAGGAATATACAACCGGGGGGACGACAACTAAACGTCGCATCATTTGACAAAAATATATTAAAAAAAAAATTAAACACAACGATAGGTTTATAGTTAAAATATTACAAATAAAAAAACGACAACTTATAATTAGTCCTACAATTCAAAAAAAAAAAAGATGAAAAAAGTACATAAAGTTTATTATTAAATTATAATTGCATCCTTCGAGTCTTCATATTTGGAAAACGATCAATGATTTTTTCATCAGGAACTTGTAAGAACACTTGCTTCTCAATAAAAGTGACCAAACAATCATTCATAAATTGGTCACCCATGCTATTTCGCAACTTACTTTTGACATATGTCATTGCGGAGAATACTCTTTCAACACTTGCCGTAGCAACGGGGAGAATCAACATCAACTTGATAAGCAAATATACAAGAGGATATGTCTTATCCTTCTTGGTATTAACAAGCATCATGGAAAGAGAGTTAAGATCACGCAAATTTTGAAATCTCTCATCATTGTGCATATTTTCCATGAATATATCAAGTTGACCTTCAAGTGTCATCAAATCAAAACTTGAAAATTCTTCGGGATAAAAAGAGGCAAGTTTGAGTACCTTTTCTTTGTCAAACGATGAGAAGTTATCTTTAGGACTTAAGAAAGCCATACAAGTAAGTAACTCCATGCTTCTCTCACTGAATCGATTATCAAGCTCTTGAAGATGCAAATCAATTACCCCCAAAAATATTTCAACTCAAAAATGATGTAGATTTGTTGCTTTTTCGACAAAGCGTCGTGATCTTCCTTGAGGAACATAAAGAGCATCCATAGTGGGAACATCAATGCCATGTTTAGTGCAAAATAAAGTAACCTTGTCTAAGAGAGTCTCCCACCCTTGTTCCCTCATTTTTTGCAACACACTTTTTGTGAAAGTAACTAGTTCCATGGCATTTACAATATCTTGCTCCTTTCTTTACAAAGCAATACACAAATCATTAGTGTAACTAAAAATAGTCAACATCAAGTAAGCAACAAAAATAAAATCAAATGACTCTAATTGTCCTAAAGCAATTTGAGCTTTAAACTTATCTTCCGATGCACCATGTTTCCCAATGTGAACAAGTACCTTAACAATTGTAGAAAACAAACGGATGACATTTACAAGACACTTGTAATGGGATCCCCAACGAGTATCTCCGGGCCTCTTCAAACCAAGCTCTTGATTCAAACCCGATCCACTCAAAATTTCCCCCACTTCCAATGCTTGAGCAACTTCTTGAGCTTGACTATTACGAATCATTTCTCTTCTCTTGCAAGAAACTCCAACAACATTCAACAAGTTTGCAAGTATTTCAAAAAGCCAACCACAACTATCATTCCTTTTAGTAACGACAACTAGTGTTAGTTGAAGTTGATGAGCAAAACAATGTATATAGTAGGCTCTTGGAGTATCATTCATAATCAAAGTCTTAAGGCCATTTATTTAACCCTTCATATTACTAGCCCCATCATACCCTTGCCCTCTTATCATAGATGGGCTCAATGATTATTCCACAAGTACTGACATAATTGCATCTTTAAGAGATAAAGCGGTAGTATCACCAACATGAACAATGCCTAAAAATCTCTCCATTACCTTTCCACTATTTCTATCAACAAAGCGCAAAACAAGAGCTAGTTTCTCTTTTTGGGACACGTCACTTGACTCATCGGCCAATATAGCAAAGTAATCATCACCAAGCTCTTCAATTATGCACTTAGTCGTTTCTTTTGCACAACAATTAATAATGTCTTTTTGGATCGGGGGAGAAGTCATTTGACAATTTCCGGGTGCATTTTCAAGAGTATGATCACCTACTTCCTTAACCTTTTCTCCTAACCATTTCAATAGCTCAATGAAATTACCCCTATTATGAGACTCATCACTTTCATCATGGCCACGAAATGCCAAACCTTGTCCCAAAAGAAACCTTAAACAAGTTAAAGATGCATTCAAACGAATATAATATTCATTTTTAATTACCTCACTTGCCTTTTCAAAAATATTCACAATTGATTTATTTTTCCCATCTTTTAAATTCACATACTTCTCATACGCAAGATTATGAGCACTCTTAATTCCACCAACATGCTTCTCAAATCGTTCCGGTTTATTCCATTTCCTAAACCCTCCATCAACAAATGCATCACCTCCCATATTATTTTCAACTTCACCTTTGAACAAATAACATACAAAACAATATGCGGCATCTTTTTCAATGCTATACTCAAGCCAATCCCATTTGTTGAACCAATTCACACTAAAACGACGCAAACCTCCTACTTGTCTTTGAGGGAAGTTGTGAGTTTTTGGTTGACAAGGTTTTTTTAGAATATAAGCTCTCCTTACCGCATTTCTTTGATTTGGGGGATAATCCATTATGTTCATTCTTTTTCCCGGATCATGGGGAAGTAGTTCAACATCATATATCAATTCTTCCTCCTCCAGTGGTACATTACTAGTACTTGTACCACCACCATTTTCTACAACATTTTCTTGAGTTTCGGGGGAGGTAAATGAAGTGGGTTCATTTCCTTGAGATTTCATTCTTTTAAACATAAATTGTCAAAGATCGGGTTGTTTTGACATGGCCTAATTTAATCAATAAGAATGTAAACAATGAATCAATAATAATTCAATTACCATCGTATATTCATAATTTCATATCATACAATCCAAATAACCAAACAATTAAACACAAATAACAAGTTATAAAGTGAACTATTTGACAACCCTAACTAAACATTGGAATTCAAACAATTAACCATTAGAAAATTAGGATTTAAATAATTAACACTTTAAAAAAATTGGCACTTATACAATTAAAAAAATAATAAGATTTAGGGTTTAGAGGGTTAATTTATAATTAGAAGTTACTTACTTTGAATTTGGGGAAAAATCAAAGACAAATTAATTGTTGATGTGCCGTCGCAATCAGCGTCGCCGACGTCAGACACTCAGACGTGGTCTCGTCACTTCGTCAGTCAGTGACGTCACTCGTGTCTCGAGCCTCGTGGTCCACTGGTCCGTGGAGTACAATTTTGGTCTAGAGGAATTGTAAAAGTCTTAATATTTTTTTTTAACTTTTTATGTTTGTCTTTTAGTATTTTTTTTTTATTCTTTATAATTTTGTTTTATATGTGATGTGACTTAACTTCCTTACTTTTGCTCTCTTTTTGTTTGTGGATCAGTACAACTTGTACCTTGTGCGTGATTTGCAAGGCTTTTTTTCTTTTTTTTTTTTAATAATAAAAAACCGATTTTTTTTTCAAAGTGGGGGGACAGCTGTCCCCCTTGTACCCCTCTCCCTCCGCCACTGGCTACCGCACTGAGCACTTCATCACATTACGTGTCTGGTTGAGTACAGGACGAGAAGAGGTTGGAGTAGTAGCTAACAACAATATCTTCGAAATCTTCTTCATCAGAATGCTATACTCCATTAGCATCATACAAGCCTGTTATCTCGTTCTTTTTCTTTCTCTGGGATGCCTTATGATGAAAGTAAGAGGTATTACGGTCCCCATCCTTTATTTCAGCTGCTCGAGTTCTAAGATACCAGTAGGCTTCCTGTTTATCTAGCACCTCCTCTCGTTTTTTCTCAAGCTCACAAATGCGGATGTGATCTTCTTAAATCTCTTTTCTTTGCATCTCTTGAAGCTCTTTCTCCAGGGAGTCAATCCGTTCGTTGAATTTAATAAATTTCTTCCCACTCCAATTTCTCAACGAACCCAGCATCAAGCCTAATATGTCCAGCATACTTCTACCTTAATCCTTCCAAGATGATTTGACTGTTTGTTCACATGAGGGGTCCAACAGTCATGCCGTTTCGAATTTGAAGGACTTATTTCCCCTTCTCCGCTTCCGCTTAGGCCTCTGAAGTCTCACCAATATGGGTGAATGATCAGATTTAACCCGTACAAAATTCTCAACTTGAAAATCCGGAAACAAGTCAAGCCATTCCTTGTTAGCACAAAATTTGTCCAGCCTCTCTCGAATCATTATAGCCACTGAACGACCCCTTTCCCAAGTGTACCATTGGCCTGTATAGCCTAAGTCACGCAGGTTACAGTCATTAAGAGCTTCTCGAAAATTGTCAATCTCCCTCCTCTCATTCTCAGACCCACCCCTCTTCTCCTCCGTACTGAGAATTTCGTTGAAATCCCCTCCAATTAAGATCGGTCCATCCAGCTTTTCACACAAAACTCAAATCAGTTTCCAAGTGTTGTGCTTTTCTCCATTAGCAGGCCACCCATAGATTCCAATAAAGTTCCAATAGGAATTTCCTTGCTCCACCCTCCCACAGATGTGATTACTAGAAAGAGAAATGAGATTGAAGGAGATAGTATCTTTGTTCCAGTACAAACATAAACCGCCAGCCTTACCCACACTACTAACACCAATTGCACTGTCAAATCCTAACCCGTTCTTTAAAGCTTCCGAATCACCATTGCTGATCATTGTCTCCGACACGAAAACAAGGCTAGGGGCATGAGATGAGCACCACTTTCGCAGTGCTCGAACTGCACGAGGGTTGCCAATGCCTCGGCAATTCCAACATAAAGCATTCATTGCTTTTCGAGGGGTTGGTTTTTACCAACTCCCTCTACTTGATTTACCCCGTCTCCGGCTTGACTAAGTAATCCACCCTTGGTTTGTTTAGTTATCACTTCCTCTTCAACCTGCTCTAACCCTCTTTTTCGACTCCCCTCTTTCACCTTGGTACTAGTCTCACACCCAGTCAGATTGTCAGGCCTATTATCCCTCACTAATCTTTTCCAGCTCCCACCAATGGACATTCTTTTATCAATACTGCATATAATGTGAGGGATATAAGAGGTCCCCTGCCCCTCTGAAGTGGAACTTGGCAGAGAACTAGCTTTTGCAACCTCATCAAAGCTAAAGCCTCCTTTTTCAACGACTACTTTCCCATCAGGTTCAGCAAACATAGGGCTTGCTTCCATCCCTTCTTCGGCAGCACTTATTTCACCCCTGTTTTCATCGCTCTCTGCCCCATCTACTTTGCTTATGTCATTATTTGTAACCTGGCCTACAGCTCTAGTTCTGAGTACACTCTTCGAACCCTCCTGCACCTTCTCAATCCTTAATTGCGCTTGTCTCACCTTTGGAGTTTGATCAGCCCGAGGCTCCTCACTTTTGTCCTGCTCCTTTCTAAAAATTAATTTTCTGGCCACTCCTGGAGGGCCTAGCTTTATAGCACCAGGATCATCATAGCTTAGGGGCTTAGCTAGATTCCTTGACTTGAGGCCATCCCTCCACTTCTTATCCCTCTCCCTTTCGGCTATACTGATTTTCGTGCGTTTCCTCGGGGTTGCACGGAGCCACGGTCCATACTGGAAGAAAAGTCCTTCATCTTGATCATTAGTGATCTCCTTGAATTGGCAATCCCTGTCAGTGTGATCAACTCTCCCATAGAAAAAGCGGAAATCTGCCAATCTCTCATATTTCATGTCTATCCACTTCGAAGAGCCAGTACCTGTCGCAAGCAACAGGCCCCTTCGTAGTGGCTTGCGAATATCCACCATGATTTTCATACGGACAAACTCATTCCATCCTAGGGGATCATCGTCATCCAGTTCTACGAAACCCCCCAAAATTCGCCAATTTCGTCTAGTATTGTTTTGCTACGTTTGTTAAAAGGAACATCAAGGAGTCGAATCCACATCGGAGTATAGGTAAAGCTAACTTCGGAGGGCTGTTCATCGCCTTGAAGTTCTTTCAGTAAGAGAATCTTGTCATCAAAAAACCAGGGGCAACCTTCAATTACTCTGTCTTTATCGCTATCACAAAAGAATTGGAAAACGAAAAGATTGGACTCCACCATTCGAATAGCAACTGGGTCCTTCAACTTCCATACTGCCTGCAGGGTGCGTTTCAGCGCTTCTGAGTTGTAAGGTTTGGTTTTGCACAATTTTCCGACTAGTGTTTATCGCAATTGGTCATTGGTATCTTCTACATCAGGTCCCGACAAATCGCCATCAATGACCTCTGTCTCCTCCTTTGTGAGTTTCAATTTTTCCCAATCCCGCAGCAATTCTTCCTCCATGGGTTAAAGGATTAATTCGCAGGCTTAAGAATTGGTTTCTAAAGTGTAAAATAAGCAGAAAATCACCACAGATCGACTACAAATTGACCACGAACGCGTACTACGAAGCCCTCGAGAGGACTACTATTAACCCTAAGCGAGGGACTACTTGGTAGTTACTTTACTTCCTCAGTTAAATAACGGTTGAACTTAAATTTACAATTAGTTAAAAAAAAGTTAGTTTTAATTTGTAAAGGCATGATCAATTTTTTTTCGAAAACGCATTATCAATTTTCATGTATAAAGATAGTTTGAAAAATAAGGTATTTGTAAAGACATGCGATTTTTTTTGTTAAATAATTTTTTTAATAAAAAAAACATGAAGAGGACACGTGTTCTTCCAACTTCTTGTTTTAAAATAGTAGTATAGATTAATTATTTTTTTCTAAAAAGAAAAATAATTCTTTTTTTTTTACCAATCGCAGGCTAACGTGTGTCAAGCGACTTGTTATAATAGGTTAGTTGACTGGTTGTGACCATTAGGAGCGGATTGACTATAAAAGTCGAATTATTTAAAAATAAGCCAAAGGTGGAATTATTTTGGGCGGACGACTCAAAGGTGGGATTATTCCGGGAAATATTTCCTATTATTAATTAAAATATATATAGTATTTTGATTAATTTTCTTGATAGAAAAAGATAGTTTTTTGTTTTATAGTTTTTACGGAGTATTATTCATCTCACGTAGAAATAATATTCATAATTAAACCATGTAATATTTTGATTAATTTGCTTGTTTTTTTTTTATAGATTTAATTATTCATCTCACAAAAAGATAATATTTTATTATTAAACCATATAATATTTTGATTAATTTGCTTGTTTTTAAAATTAATTTTCTTGTTAGAAAAGGATAGTTTTTATAATTCATTGGTGTTAGTTATGTGAAAATTGTATTTATAATTAATAAATAAATTATAAATATGGTATCTCATTCGCCAAAGGATAAATATATCACTCATAAACATTCTTTTTTGTAGATCAAATTATATTTATAAAATTTATAATCAACCAAAAAAAATTGTTCAAATCCAAAACTTGTTAAAATAACTAAAAGTATATATATAATTTATCTTCTATTTCGATAGAATCATCAACTTCATTCATAACCAACTACCTCTAATCTAAAATAGTAGATAAACTATTGTTAGCAAAAATATAATTGATATAAAAAAAATCTTTACAATTTTATAAAATAAATCAATAATTTACGAGGAGGTGAAAAATTGTCCCAAAATAATCTTAAAATTTTAATTGTATAAAATCAAATATATGCATTGGAATTTGCAGTTAAAAAAATGAAACACACGGGAAAATGATAATCTGATAGAAAAGAGAATATAGTTACAATTAGCTTCAAAATACAAGGCCATGTTCAGAGCGCATCAGCAAGGGCTTTAACACGTCCATGGTAAGGGTAACCACCTCGGTCAAAAGCTACCTT